GCCCAGAAATCAGGATTTTAAAAAGATTCCCAGGTGATTCTAATGTGCAGCCAAGGTTGAGAACCACTGCTCTAGCAGCCACAGTAAAACACATAGGACTCCAGGAGACCTGAAAGGCCCCCACCTGGTCCTTGGGTGACAGCTGGTCTTCTTTCATTGGCATAGGGTTACTGCTACTCACAAAAGCCAGGCAAGTTCACCAGCAAAATCAATCTCATACAGGAAGAGACTGCTCATGAAAAAGAATGTTATACATCTAAGAAGTGAGCATAAAAAAAAAAATCGAACAGTCCTAGCCGGCATGGCTCAGTGGATAGAGCGTCAGCCTGCGGACTGAAGGGTCCCAGGTTCGATTTCGGCCAAGCGCACATGCCTGGGTTGTGGACTCAATCCCCAGTAGGGGGCGTGCAGGAGGCAGCCTATCAATGATTCTCCCTTCATTGATGTCTCTCTCTGTCCTCCCTTCCTCTCTGAAATCAATCAATAAATATATTTCTTTAAAAATTTGAACACTTCAATCTGCTTTCAGACTTAAACTTTCACCTGTATGATTTTTGTTCACAAAGGGATCAACAGTCCTATGTAGTCCAGTAGCAACTGAGATCAGAGACCTATTCCAGAATTTCAGGAGGTTGAAAAGCAAAGATTAGACTCAACTCTCTTTTAGCCATAGTCCATCTCCCCCATTACCATAGCTCTACCTCACTGATTGCATAAGACCTGAGGTTATAGGGTGGACCGCATACAATCATGTAAATAATACTGATTACTCTAATCTGGCAACGTAGAGAACTCCCACTAAATTGCCTATTATACTAGGAACATCTGGAATAATTTGAATTGCCCATTATATGCAGAGGCACTTAATTCAACTCCCCTACAGATGAAAAAAACAAAAAACAAATGGAGGCCCAGAGGAATAAATATACTTGACAAAAGCCACAGACTTCACCAGCAGCTTAAGTGTAGAATCCAGACTTCTTGACTACTAGAGGCCCACACTTCCCTCAGTGATTTTTTTAGTGCTGCCCAATTGGCATTAAGAACTATCATCCCCTTCTTCAATATTTATAACTATGAGCCCCTGTACTTAGAGCGTGCAAGCTCCAGTCTGCCCAGACCCTGGCCAACAAGTACACTAGCTATACAAGCAACCCTCCAACCAACTGGGTCAGAGTTAACTTGGTCACTCTAACCTTGGGAATTCAAAGGGGAGCAGTCCTGAGGTCCATGTGCTCACATAAGAATTGCCTCTAATTATGACAATAAGCATAATAGCAACTATCACTTAATTAAGCATCTCCTATTTGAGGCCCTGTATTAGACCCCTTTACATGCAGTCTTATTTGAATAGGAAGACCATCTGAGGTTAGTTAAGTTATTCAAGATCACAATGTTATTGTAATTAGCTAGTTGATATTAATAAAGAAAGCAAAGGGAAGTCAGACATTGTAAGCATGGTCACCTGGGAAGCTTCACCAGGAACTACAGCTTCACACAACATTGCTCCTCCAAGGGGATTAACACCCCTCCCTTCCCCCATTCAGTACTGGATCGTTGCCGGGAGGGGGGCGGGGAGTACAGGGGCGTAGATAGGCATAGGTGCAGAAGTTGGGATGGCACAGGGGAGGTGCTTGTCTGTCAATCTAGCCTGAGGAACAATGGATTGGCTGGGGGTAACCCGCCCCGGAAGTGTGCACAATCTTGCAAAGCTAATTGGTTAGTTTGAAGAAGCTCCTGGTTAAAATCCCCAAAGAGTTCCCTCTCTTTTTTCCTCTCTTGCTCCATGACCTGCACTGGCCCGTGCACTCCCACATTCTCTCTCCATAGCCATGTGGCCTTGGCAGTAGGCCATGTGGACTCCACACTGCATTCTAATATGGATCAGAAACAATGGGCAGTGGCCTTTATTCTGGCCCTGCTGAAGACATAGTTGGACTTTTTCCATGGCGGGCTGGAGGAAAATGGGACATTGGAAACCCAGCGGTTTATTTCCACCCAAATAAATATCACTCATCCTTCCATGCGAGTCTCAGGAAATTTTTTTCCTTGTGACATCGCAAGAATTCCACTTCCACCAATAACAACTAGGAAGAGGTAGGCCTGTGATCCTAACCCAGGTTCTAGAAGCCATGTTCTTTCTACTACGCTGCTTATGAATAAGGCCTTTCCACCCGGCTCTCCAGGTTGGTGTGCCAGTTTCCTCTGTTGGGGGATGAAGCCCTATCCTGAACCTAGGTGCTCTATAGAGACTCTGACACTGTATAGATGTGGTAATAACCCACTCTGCACAACGGTTATATCGGCTTCTGGACTCAGTTACTGGCCGGAGTCTTGGGGCGGGGGGATGGGCATCTGGCAACAAGGCCATTTAACTTGTCATTGTCCAGACCACTGCTGCTAGCCATCCACCACACACGCCCTGATTAGAGTTAGTTCACCCAACCTAATCCACTTTAAACATCTACCCCATATTAAATGCTGGTGAGAGATGTCTGAATAGTCACTACTATGAGCCAGCTTTACATTAAACCCCTGGAATGTGGTGTTGAGTGTGATGTGGTACTCATCCACCTGGACCCTCAGTCTGCCTCTCATCCAAGCCCACATAAGATCAGGGCAAAATATTCCTTTGTTACGTTGACATAGTTGCAAAGGCCTTGCCAAAGAGCTATCCCAAGCAACAAGAAATCCCAAACGTACACAGCGTCTGGGTTCCTGCAGAATCGTGGCTTGTTCGTTATAGCTCATATTATCCATGGGAAACTCATCCAAAGAAATGTTTGTAGGAATTACATCAGTGGTGATAAGAAAGTTGCGAAAAGTAGTGACATGCAAAGATTGGGAATCACATGGAGTCAGGTGGTAGTTCATCCTATGGGAGCTGTACCACCGATCAGTTCTTGGCAATGTGCATACCAATCACCTGGGGCTCCGTTGCCATGTGCATTCTAATTCAGGAAGTTTGAGGTGGGGCCCGAGGCTCTGCATTTCTAACAAGTTCCCCTAACATGCTGATGCTTCTGTTCCTCACATACACTTGGAAGTAGCAAGCACACAGACCGCAGCAACACAGGTTGAAAAGGGAGAGAATATAATTTACTTATTAAGTAAATTATGTTGATCTGAGTTATGTATGTAAATAGCACTAGAATCTTATAGCCAAGTTACATGATATTACCAGAAAAGTAATCATTCATACAGGAAAAAGAAGCCAGCACTGAGTCTTGGGGCATGAGGGATTTGGAAGCTGGGGTGGGGGGTGGGAAAGAGGGACCAGAAACACATAGAAATCATGAGGGGAAAAGAATAAGCCGAAGTCGTGTAAGTAGCAACACAGTTGTTCAATTGAATCAACAGTCAATGTTTGAAATGCTCCGGATAATGTAGCCTAGGGTACCCGCTGAAATCAGGCCCAGCTAACACTGAGGAATGCCAGATAAGAGTTAACCAGACCTGGGCCATTAGACTCATTGGTACAGAGCAGGCAAACCCCTTATTCTAAACAACAAGCAATGGGAAGAACTCAGCGAAGGCAAGCAAACAACACCGGGGTGTGCTCAGGGTCACAAATACAAAGCTAAGCAAGCAGATAAATGCCTAGATGTGGGAAGTGAACTTACCTTCTGGTCTTCAGCTTTCTTAAGGAACTGAGCCAGGGGAATCAAAGCATCCTAGCCCCGGAGGAAATAGTGAATCCAGGAAGGAATCAAGTATGGGAGGTGGCACACTCAGCAAAGACCCAGATCTGCAACCCGCACCAAATCAGCAGTAAAGTCACGTGGTATTGACCCAACTGAAGGCTTTATATCCCTTCCTATGCGGACTCAACAAGTGTGAGTTAAGTGGCTATAGCTGTGAAAATTGGCAAACAGTGCTAGGCATCTTAGAACAGTGAGACTCAAAGTGTGGTCCCATATTAGCAGTGTGAGCATCACCAGGGAACCTTTAAGAACTGTAAATTCTCAGCCCCATTCCAAACGTACCAATTCAGGAACTCTGGGGGTGGAGCCCAGCAGACTGCATTTTAACGAGCCCTCCACGTGCTTCTGATGCAAGCTCAAGTTTGGGAAGCACTGCAGTGGAGTCTATTGAAAGTGCAATTGAAGAGACAAGGCCAAGTGCGGCAAATGCAAGTCATTAAAGGTAGCCTTAATAATGGTGCTTTTAAAGAGCTAGTGAAAACTGAAGCCAGGTTACAGAAGGGAAGAAAACACAGCAGAGAGAATATGAAAAATCGTTAACAAAACGTGCTCAAGGATCCAGAAAGTTGGGCAATGATATTGAATGGTAGAGTTTTATCAATGTTGAAGAATCACCAACCGTGGGTATGATACTCATATTCTGATTCTGAAAATAGGAGAAATCGTAAGTGTCAAGAGGGGTCAACTCATAAGATGTGTTTGAAATTTTTCTCATGCCGTATTTTCAAGAGACTCACTTAAAAGAAGTGAGTGCCAATGCTTGTGAAGATATCTTCTCAGAAAGGGAAAAACAAACTTGAGAAACACAAAGACAGTGATCTAATGCAGTGATTTTCAACCTGTGTGCCACAAGAATGTTTAAAACGTGTAATACCTATTTAATCAGGGGGATTGACCTCTTTAGATTGTCAAACAAAAAGATCACAACAGCCAACACAACAATAGCCATCTGGTATAAATGCCCTGTCTTGAGCCATAAATATATAGGTCATATAATAGAGTTGTATGTTATTGGCCATGTCGCATAATAAGGTTGCGTCTGATTGGTTAATTCTTGATACAAGAAATCCTTATATACAAATATAGACACCTGATTTTTTTAAAAGTCACTTTGGAGCAAAAAGGGTAGGTAACTACTATTATTTTATAACTTTTGTAAATTAGTCATAATTATGCCCTATATATGTAAATTGACTGAAGGGTGGAACGACCAGTTGCTATGACATGCACTGACCACCAGGTGGCAGACGCTCAATGCAGGAGCTGCCCCCTGGTGGTCAGTGCGCTCCCACAGGGGGAGCACAGCTCAGCCACAAGCTGGGCTCATGGCTGGCGAGCACAGCGGCAGTGGTGGGAGTGCTAAGGACCCCTCGGGCGATATCTGCCAAGGGGTCCCAGAATGCTAGAGGGCGAAGGCCAGCTGAGGGACCCCCCCCCCATGCACGAATGTTGTGCACCGGGCCTCTAGTATAATATAATATATTTTGGTGTGCCACAGAATTTTGTGTGCCATGAGATGAAAAGGCTGAAAATTGCTGGTCTAATGACAAAAATATTGAGAAAGAATTTTATTTAAAATATGAACACAGGTATGGGACAAAAAAAAACATGTGCAGATTTTTAATTATATGGATTGATTCAGCAAATATGTGTTGAACATCTCTATTCAGGCACTAAAGATGCAAAACTGAATAAAACATAATCTCATTAAAAATATTAGCGCCCTAACTGGTTTGGCTCAGTGGATAGAACATCGGCCTGCAGACTGAAGGGTCCCAGGTTTGATTCCAGTCAAGGACATGTACCTTGGTTGTGGGCACATCCCCAGCAGGGGGTGTGCAGGAGGCGGCTGATCGATGTTTCTCTCTCATTGATGTTTCTAACTCTCTATCCCTCTCCCTTCCTATCTGTAAAAAATCAATAAAATATATTTTAAAAAATATATTTGCAGCGTAGTAATAAGAATGGGGTGGCGAAGACAATAAATTACAGTTGACACAGCTGTGGCAGAGATTCACCTAAGGAGCTATGGGAGCATAGAGTTTCTTCAGAAAGCATCCAAGATCTCTTTTCAAAAGAGAGTAATAGTTTAGATCTGAAGAACAATAGACCGAAAGAACATCCTCACAGAGGAAATGATATGTAGGCAGATGTGGAAGCAGGGAATGCCTTCTGGGAAATGCTGGAGGCTTGGCGTGGCTGGGGAGAAGGGACATGAAACTACAGAACTCGTAGGCAGCTCAGGTGGCCATCCTGGTAATATAGGCAAGCCAGGGAGTACCAGGAATGGGCATGCTCTTCAGAAGACCCCTCTGTCTCAGTGGTATGGTGAATGATTTGAAGAGAGGGCCAGAAAGGAGGCTGGTAAGATCAGTAAAGAAAAGACCATAATTCAAGTGATGGACTAACAGTGGTCGGCAAACTCATTAGTCAACAGAGCCAAATATCAACAGTACAACGATTGAAATTTCTTTTGAGAGCCAAATTTTTTAAACTTAAACTATATAGGTAGGTACATTGTTATTAACTTAATTAGGGTACTCCTAAGGCTTAGGAAGAGCCACACTCAAGCGGCCAAAGAGCCACATGTGGCTCACGAGCCGGTTTGCTGACCATGGGACTAGGACATTAGAGTTTGGGGATGCAGAAATTATGCGATTCTAAGGTTGGTAAGGCCTATGATATGATAAAATTGAGACACACTGATACACCAGGATCAATTGGGGGATGGGCCCTAGCAATTTGTAACTAATATGAGCAACAAGTTGGTGATCGATTTCATTATCTCTATCAACTAGAGATGATTTAAGGCTATCCCTGTAATAATGGCAGTTAAACATTTCAATCCGCTTTCTGGAGTGGGAGAAGAAGGGCTCAGTGAGCCCACAATAATAGTTGAACATCCTCTCTGAGCAAAACATTTGAGCACACAGCAGTGACAAGATGGGAATATGCACCCTCCCTCCTAGAGCTCACCAAACGGCAGAGAGGGAGGAGAGGGTATATGCCTCAGGCCAGGAATCAAGTTCATGCTAACTGCAGGCCATCTTACCTGTGTTCTGGCATATCACTGAGGGGGGGAAAGGCAAGCCACAGCCCTCTTCTCTTCCGTCTAACCTCAGGGGGGAGAACTCTGGCGGGCATCAAGGAAATTCACTGTTAGAATCCAATGGACCACAACTTTGGCTGTAGAGGCTTCCCAGAGAAGAATGACATGGGAGGGGGGTATCTTTACATTGGAAGGCCAAGCAGGGCCAAGGAGGGGTTCCCAGGAAAAAAAAATGTCAGCTTGGAGCTCGCCCTGCCCTGGGTCTCAGGGAAGACAGTGGTAGGGGCAGGATAGAAACTGATTTCTTGAGGTTTCTGTAAATGCCAGATCAGGTCACCAGTTAGGAAAGAAGATGAGCATTTCAACACAGGTCGGGACCAGAAAACTGGACTGAACATAAGGCTCAGGTTCCTTTGGTCATATCTCAGACCCTCCAGCACATGGTATAGACACTCCATTTCTGCTCCCAGAGATATGACTAATACCTGTAAAGAGGATAAACAGTTTAATACTAAGGAATAGACAGTTTAAAGCAGGGGTCCTCAAACTTTTTAACCAGGGGGCCAGTTCACTGTCCCTCAGACCGTTGGAGGGCCGGACTATAGTTTAAAAAAAACTATGAACAAATTCCTATGCACACTGCACATATCTTATTTTGAAGTAAAAAAACAAAACGGGAACAAATACAATATTTGTATTTGCATGTGGCCCGCGGGCCGTAGTTTGAGGACCCCTGGTTTAAAGGTTGCAAAGGCCCTGGAGGGATGTACAACAAAATATTAAATAGAAGTTTTTCTTATGTGGCATGATTTCGGGTGATTTTAAAATTTTCTTCTCTTTGATCATCAGAAACTCCTATAATGAATATGGTTTTCATAAGTAATAATATAAATTAAGATGATATACAATATTATGATCTTGTTAGACAAAGAACCCAATGTTAAAAATTGGTATCATTCCACATATATAGGATATGTATATGAGCACCTAAGGAAAAAGCAGATGTGAAATGATGATAGAAGAAAAGATTTTAGAATAAGTGGTCATAATTGAAAATACTGTCCATCCTATAGCTCAAAGACATGTAAAATCTACCTAAATGCTACTAAAAAGATCACTATCCACAGGTGAGAATATACTAGAATATAAAGTCTCATATGTAAATTCTGATATACTAGAATCCCATTTCAAAGCACTGACTTGGCTCCCTTCGGTGTAGAAGCTATTGTAGAAAACCAGCACCTCAAAGACTAACAAAGCTGAGTTCAAAAATAGAAGAGGATGAAATAATAATGGTTACATAAACTGGTCCATCCATACAATGTTATATTACTCAAGTACAAACTATTGACACATGTTAGTACCCTAGACCAGTGATCGGCAAACCGTGGCTCGCGAGCCATATGCAGCTCTTTGGCCCCTTGAATGTGGCTCTTCCACAAAATACCACATGCGGGCGCGCACGTACAGTGCGATTGAAACTTCATGGCCCATGCGCAGAAGTTGGTTTTTGGAAAGCAGATA